TTCAGTCTTGTCTATTGCCCCGACCCCCCCAATGCTGTGTGAATGACCCACAAAAACAAGGAAACTGCCCCCCCCCACCACCCCCACACCTGCTCTCAATTACTCAAATTGACAAGAGGTCTTTTTTTCTAATCTTCTAGTGATATATCCTTAAATGTTACTTGTAACAAAAGTAAACAAAACAAAAAAAAGTCAAACAGAAGTATGATTCTTTTTGATTTGATGACATCTTTTAAATTCATTTTACCATTGTCTATTTTTTGAGCTGTTCGAGGATCAAAGTTTAAGTATTTTTGTAGCCCTGGGGTCCAATTTTTCACATCATTTTCACTGTATCTTCCTTTCCAGCGTAAGTGACTCCAGGGATTTTTCAACTGGAGGAATCGAAGCCCCTAGAGAAACAATAAAGAAATCGCCTGATTTATCTTGTCAGGGTAAGAGCGAACATATTGTTAATCTTACCTAACAGATACATAAACTAAACACTGAAGGAAATACAGTGTTAAGTTTTTGGGAATAACTTGATAAAGCTCTCGAGCAAGATAAAGATTTCAAGCCCCGTCTTTGAGCAAAACTCCACTGTCACTGGACAATCACGTTTAAATCCACCATCTATTACAACTGATGACAGTATGTAAAAAGCACCCACTACAAAGCTTCTTGTTTTACTGGATACCTTATATTCTCTAATATCCAAAACAGCATATGCATGGGTTGGAACTAAACCCCATTTCTCTCCTTCCTCTTCAGACATCACTCCAGTTGCTGTTGTGATAAGGACATCGCCTTTGTGAAATCTGGAGGGGAAATTAAGGAAGCTTAGTTTAGGTTATTAGCACATGTAAAATGACCAGTGTAATATAATTACATTTATTGAACACTAAACTCTCTACTTCCAAATTGTGGTATTGTTAAGACCCAACTTTACAAACCTGGAGTGCAAGTAATCTTTTCTGAAGGAGACAGAAATTATTTGTACAAGCTCAATAAAAGAAGGTATAATTGTTACTTTTCAACATTTAAGATCAGGCTCTAGTAGGAAAATTACTGTTGTCATGAAAACAACATGTCAGATTCAGTCTTACACTGACAATATCATTTATTAAAGACGCTCAGTGAAATAAATCTTCTACCTAACACATTGTTCGATCCTTTGATGCTAGTCAATCGCTATATACATCAAACTGAAACAAATAAGTCTCTGCACTTATGATCTTGGGGGCAAATTTTCTAAGGATCAGAGGGTGAAAAGTATATGCTTCCATATTCCTACATCAGTTTGCATGCACAAATGCTGGTTTAACATCAGTGTAGGTCTGTAGTATCTGAAAATTTAGCCCCCCCAATGCCTAAATACAGAGAAACAGATCGTAAGAGTGACTGTCAACCTACTAGGAGGTCACAAATCTACTGAAGAAAATGTGAGTTTTTGTGTTAGGTGTACAGCGTTTGCTTGTTTTAATGCTTTGGCCAAGCTGAGATCCCTTTCCCATCATGTTGGTGCTCTGCCTTCCTTGACAATGAGGAGAAAGTGGTTGGCTAAATGAGACTTTTCTTAATTTGGGGAGGGGAAAAAGGAACAATGCCCGCAGCTGAAAAACATAATTAGGCCATACGTATCATGACAGCAGGATTGATATACTAAGCCCCAGGTTAGTATCCTGGTCCTGACAGGTACAGAGCACCTCTGTGCTCCTCCACAGGAGATCTACTGGTTGGGCAGTTAGTAAGGACTCTGGTGGCACTATTAGAGCAACCTCACCACACCTGTTTCCACTCTGAAGTCAGCTTCATGCTGCATAGCTGGGAAATCCATCCTCCTTTCTCTGGCTCCTGCTTCCTCCTGAATCTAGCCCAGGGGAGGATTCAACTTCCACTCCCCATTTCCCACTCTCTCCCCCTCCCGCCCCCCCACCATTGGCAGGGAAGAGGGATTATTATTTTTTTTAAATTATAGTTCTGCTAGAGATGGGGATCCAGTTCTCCATCTATTAACTGAGCTCCCTTGTTCCTCCATTAGCCTCTGATGTCAAAACCATTAATAACCTATTCCTCCAGCGGATTTCAAAGGAGAGTGCAGAGAGGGGCTATGAAGGCTCAGATGTAGTAGGACCACAATGCTTGTGTTTAGAGCTAGTGACAAAGACCATCACGTTTTTAGTCACTTTCATATCATTAACGCATCTGTTTCACAAAGAGCATCTTCTCTCACCAAGGAAGAACAAACTTCTACCTCTGATAGAGCATTCTGAAAGAACTGTCCTTATTGAAAGCCTGATTGTCTGAGTGCATAGCAATCCTCTCTGGTATCCAGCCAGTCAGTGCATGGAGATCAATGTTCTGAAATGCAAGCATATTTGGTCATAAGAGACACATTAAGCTACCTTTAAGTGTATTTTAAAATGCCTATTAAATTAGTTTATATTGTACACAGAGCTATTTTGCACCAGCCTCATAACACTTATGAGAGCAATTTTTCATTAGACTAGCCTGTGCTTAAGCATAAGAAAATGATTTTCTCAAACAAGTGGCTTGATAATCAGTACTGTTCACTGATATCTTTTTAAAGTACAATTAAAGTGTTTCAAGCTCATGGTTTCAAATTCCCAGTACTCGCAGAGTGAGGTCCCAAAACAAGCCTCTGTCGAGTCTTGCCACAAGGTGCACCTTCAATAGTTTAGCTTTTTCTCTAGCTGGTCTCCAAGACACAACTAGCTTTACATGGTGAAAAGTCCTGCACAATAAAAGCAATTTCAATTTAACTAGCAGTGGTGCACTTTACAAGCACAATACTGGGCTTCACTCTCCCAAAAATACTTAGGAAAAAAAGGTCTTTTTTTCCCTATTCCCTCTCCCAAATAAGCAGGGTTATGAAAGCGCAAAGAAATGCCTCCCAACTTGTCTAAGGACAGTACTGACAGATAGGCCTTGGAGAGCAACACATCCAGGGCAGGCATTGGGAAATGCTTCTCTGATTATGCAAAGAAGGAGACATACTGTCAAGAGCTGGAGTTTCTATGTTTCATTGAAACAAATGCTAGAAGTCAAGTTGTTCCTTGTCATTGACAACTTCCCTATTCTCTGAAATTGTGTCATGGTAATGACTTGAACAAACTTAGAAAAATCTACACTATTGTTACTCTCTATACAAAACCAAATTCAACGAGAAAGTCCCCGATAACCTACCCAAAAGATCAAAAGAAGATGAGCAACCAAGTAAAAAGCAATGAAGTCTGGTTTTCAGGACATCATCAGGTGTGAACCTTGGTATGAACTGAGAAATATGCTGCGAGAGTTCAAATGTTAGGAAGCATTTCTTCATGTGATTAGAGACCAAAGTCTGCTTGGATCAGCAAAACCGGTCCAGTTCTTGTTGCAAGTGTTTTGCTTCTCAGATTAAACTTGAGCATTATATAAAAATGTTGCGGTTGCTAAAGAAACTACTATATGAATACCAAGTTACATAACTATGTATGTTAGTATTATTCTATCAAATAATACTAACTTACACATGTACCCATTCTCACCATGCGCATAAGAGCACTAAAATGATTGATGTGCTCCTCCCCTAGCCAATTCCTCAACTTAATAAGGGAGAATGTCTCTTTTACTTATTATACAAATGGCATTAGAGACCAAAAGGATTATTAGTGTAAAACACAAAACTATGGTTTTATGAAACATACAAGAGCCCTAATGAAAAACTTCTCAAAATAAACATAGGTACTTTGCAGGTTTGGGGCCTATTTTTGAAAAGACTTACTCATGTGTAACTGTACTCACAAGCAGTCTCACTGAAATCTCTTTTGATGGGACTATTCCAACTGAGTCCAGTTAAGCACGTGTGTAAGCATTTGCAAGATCAGGGCCATGGTCTCTAGCGTATGTGATCCGAGAGATGCTAAAAGCAACTTAATTTATATTTACTAAAATCAAAGTAACTTTTAAAATCTATATATAAAAATAAACCCAGACAGCAACATACAAAAGAAAAAAGTCATTCCTCTCCTCAGACAATTCATTTAGATCTCATCACGATTCATTCGAAGGAAAGCTATGTGCTATGGGATGACTACATGGACATTTTTGCCTATTGCAAAGAATAATCTGGTACTCACAGAATTTGATCCAGGAAAATCATATCCACCCATGACCTTCATGTAAGCTTTTTCTATCAGGGATACCCACAATTCACTTTTATTGTTGGAATAAGAGCAGAGGAGTTCTCCACTGTGATCTATAGGTAACTGGTCATCTATTATCACCTGAGCAAATAAGCAAACAAATTATCATAAAAGTGATCATTCAAACAGACTTTTCTCAAAAGATGAAAATCCTCAGAAGCTCATTCTATTTCATATAGCTGCTTTCAGATTGCGAGGAAACTAAACATTGTTCCCTGACTTAAAAACACAACAATTAATTCATAATAGCAGTGTAGCCTAGTGGATAAAGCACTGAACTGGGACGTGGGAGACCTGAATCCTATTCTGAGCTCTGCCACTAGCAGGCTGGGTGACCGTGGACAAGGCACTTCACTCTGTGCCTCGGTTTCTCTAGCTGTAAGATGGGGATAATAGTATTGACCAACTTTGTAAAGCACTTTGAGATCTACTGATGAAAAGGTCTATACATAAGCTAGGTATTATTATTATTAAATGTATAGAAAAGTCTAACAACCCCCCCTCACCCAGTCAATCAGAAATATGAATAGTTATATTTGTCCAAAGGGAAGATGGCCTCAAACTTCATCACATCTGCTATTCCAGTTCCTTCATTCGATTGTTTGTAGTTTTTCCTTTTCTTGAAAGAAGCAGCCACATGATGGTGGTTTTGAAACTATTAAAATCTCTGTTTTAAATTAGGCAGAATAGTGTGTGAGTTTTTACTCCAAAAATGGTCTGTAATGGCTCCACAAAGAAAATATCTCAGCCTCATCATGACACTAATCTGTCACTGGTACAGACCATTAATGAAGCACAAACTTATGGCACAACCCCGCAAACTTGCATGTGAGTAACCTTACTCTCCTGAGTGGCCCCAGTGACTTCAATGGGACTCATTCACGTGAGTAAGGATATTTACATGCAGGTGTTACCGTAGGAGAACACAGCTGCTATGTAAAACTCAGCTGGCCTAACCTGCTCAACACACCTCACACACTATCGTTGGCATGATATTTATTTAAGAGGTGTCATGTAATAACTCACTGACCCTTAATATTCTTGTGTGATGTATGGTTAACCTACAACCACGTATACAGAGGTGCCGGAAATGCGTAACTAAAATGTGTTTAAATCAGGCACGTCAGGGAAAGTTGATAAACAGGTTTTTCCAGACAAAGGAAAGGGGATGCCACCTCAAGCCAGGTGTGGCCAAGGACAGTGGGCTATTCATTTGTATTGGAGATTGCAGAAAGATCATTTGCACTGTAAAAATCACAAGTAGAGGGTGAAGTCAGCGCGGTGTCTAGGCCAGAAAGCATGGTGTCTACACTCAGCAAGGGAAAGCTACTTTACCTGGGGATACACTTAAAAATATACTTCAAAGGTTTACTGAACCCCTAAGTTATCCTTCATCTAAGGAGGCAAAGAAATCAAGTGCTCTGAGCTCCATGTGCTGGGTCCTGGCTAAATAACAGGCCAGGCATGCTGGAAGAATGACAGTGGTGAAAAAACTTCTTTGAACCAAAGACTCTAGTTTGTTGAGTTTCAGTCTGAGAGGTGTATTTTTGAAACTATTTCTATCCTTATTGCTTATACTTGGCATAACTTAAACCTATCTCCATTTGTTAATAAACTTGTTTTACTTTTACAACAAACCAACTCAGTGCTTTGATTGAAGTGGAGAGTTTGTCAATCCCAGTGAATAAGCTGTTGCGTATTGTCTCTTTAAAGGTGCAGCAAACGTGATAATGTTTTGTGGTGCTACAGTAAGAGGGGCTGAGCACTGCAGAGAAAGCCGTTTTGGGGGAGAACTTGGATCTGCAAGGATGTTGATGTCACCCTCCAAGGAGTAACCAGGCTGGTGAAAGTCAGGGTAAGGCTACTGTGCTACAAAGCACACTGTCTGAACGAAAGCAGCCCAGAACAGCAGCACCCAGGGTTACAGGGCAAAACCCCTTACTGCTCTGTGTTGATCCCCAGAGTGTCACAGCATCTTTACAGGGTCAGGCACCTATGCTATATTACACATTATTATGTAACCAAAATGAAATGTAGCAAGGTGTAATAATTATACATTTGTTGGAAAGCATGTGCATCTTGAATTCTTACTGAGAAATAAAACACAGCTTCACAATGAAATGGAATGAACTTTCAAGGTAGTTAGCTTATCCAATAATCATACTACTCTCCTTAAAGCTAATTACCTTTCTAGGGACACCATTGATATGAAGTTTTACCATGTACTTTCCACATGGATTATACTCTGGTTCTCCTTTTTTATTCTGAGGGTAAATTATGCTATTAGAAAAAGAAAAAGAAATTATAATATATCTGAACAATGTGTTGTATGTATACCTACTGTCTGATGTTTAAAAAAAGCGTTACATTAATTTGATTTTTTTGGGAATTTAAAAATGCATGCCATCATCTCAAATTACTAGAATGTCTGTGTGAATCACAGCATGAGAAATTTAACTAAATTTTCTTGTTTTAATTTATATTTCGAACAAGATCTGTATACCTCATTCTTTCTGCAGTCACCCACTCAGTCAGCTAGTCATTCATAGATAATCAAACAAAATAAATGCATGCAACTGTATATTTTACCATTCAAGCAATATTGTATATCTTTCTGAATACATACAATATTTGTATGCATTGCAAATCAAAGACTATGAGTGAAGAAGTTAAGGTTTTAAGAGACCATTGCCCGAGGGATAAGGTAATAAAAAGACAAATGGCAGTGGTTTGGGCAAAATACTGCTAAAAACTAATTTTGATTAAAACAAAATTTCAAAAACTCTTGGGCCCTGATCCCACAGTTGGCTCCATGTGACAGACTGCTAAGCCCATGTGGAGTTCATCACAGGATCAGGACTTTAGTTGATAACAATATCTCAATTCTATTTAACATCAATGCTGAAGCAAGAGGTAAAATGTGGCACGTACTGTACAGCAGTTGGCATAGTAAAGAGTGAAAACAAGTGAATGAAGCATGATTAAGGGAGATAAAAGTGAAATAAAAAAAATCCCCCCAAATGGCCAAATTTTCCAAGCATGGGTGTCTAAAGTTAAGATTCAAAAACCATATTCAGCATGTCCGAAAAGGGGGGTTCATTTTCAGAAGTGCTGAGCAGCACAAATTCCAGTGACGTAAACAGGAACAGCAGGTGCTCTGCACCTTTGAAAATAGGGACATTTTTATTCAGGTGCCCAAACATGAATTTAGGAGTCTAACTTTAGGCAGGTAAGCTTGAAAATTTTGAACCAAATGTCTACATTTGGACTTTGTACAAAATATAATATCTCAGGTTTATGTACGTTTATAAGCAAGCTTAACATAAACCTATGTTAAATCATGACATCCATAATATAGGCTTCTATCTGTTATAGCCAATGTTAAAAAGAGACAGGCTTTAAACGTTGCATAACTGACAAGATTTTAAACAGGAACAGCCATTTACCTTGTAATCAACTTTTTGTTGTACCGTCTCTCGTATGCTGCGCTGATAGCTAGTGATGCCACAAAAGAACAATCTGATACTATTGTCTAGGAGCAAAAGACACTAGTGAGGGTTTAACTGTTATTAATATTTAACAGGAAAAAGTTCAATTAGAAGTGCTTCCAACAAACAAAAGGATTTCTGAACCAAGAGAGGCAAAGGCACTCCCAACAGGTTGGGAAATCTAAGTTTCCTCAAAACTAAAACCTGATAAACTGAGACAGAAGAAAGAAATTAACTGGATGAGAACCAGAGACAGATGATTCCTAAACGTCCACAGTGTGAACAATGGGAAAAGTTCTCATTGATTTCAGAGGACTCTGAATCAGGCCCTATGTGGCTTAATATTGGGACAAAATATATATAGTTTTGCCACAAAAACCCTCCACCACTCTCGGTGGTCTGACTTCTGTTTCCATTTATGTGGCCTAAATTTAAATTTACCTGCACAGAATTTGGTTAATCATTTGTCAGGACCAATTAGTTTTGTCTGACTTCAGATTGCAAATGGAGCAATGACATAGCTATTTGGATTGGTAGAGCAAAAATTGCCAATTACAAAGCTCCACCAACCTCAATGTAAAGTTATATCTTTGGTAGAGGAGAAAAATAACTTAAGTTGCCACTAATTTTCCTAGCAAGGGTTAAAAAAAAACAACAACTAACAAACGTCAAATTAAACACATGGTTTAATATTACATACCGTATATACGTGTTCATAAGCTGAATTTTTTTTTTTAGTAAAAAAAGGGAAGCACCAGAGAAGGGGGTCGGCTTATGAACGGGTATAGAGAGGGAGAGGTGGGACACAGCCCTTCCCCCAACAGAGGAGCAAGGAGAGGCAGCACAGCCAGCAGAGCCAGAAGGGAAGAGGCAGGGCCAGAGTGTCTCCACTTCTGGGCACGCTGCTCTCCCCCCAGCCTCCAAAGCAGCTGTAGCTCTGGGGCTGGCAGGCTGCGGCCGCGCCGCCCGGCCCCAGCCTGCCGGAGCAGGCTGCGGCCAGGTCAGAGACATCCTCCTCTGGCCCTCCCCAGATAAGGTGGGAAGGGATGGGGAGAGTGTGGGGGTCCCGGGCCAGGGTCACGTGGGGGGTGGTCACAGGGGTTACTCCCCTGACTCCCAGCTTCTCCCCCCCAAAAAAGTTTCCCCAGCAGTTGCTGTCCCGGCCCATCAGGGTAAGTGGCTAGCGTGCCAGGACACTTTGTTTACTTAGGTTTACCGCTGTGCCTGCGGACGCTTGAGATAAACAAACCATCTCGGCCCACCAGCAGCTTATCCTGAGGGCCCGGGAGCCAAAGTTTGCTGACCCCTAAATTATAGGGTCGGCTTATGAACGGGTTATAAAAATTTTCCATTTTTTCTTATCCATCTTGGGGGGCTCAGCTTATAAACGAACCGGCTTACGATCGAGTATATATGGTATAAGCAAGTGTGTAATATGCTACTGTTAGGAAACAAAAGGGCAAACCTTGCTTCTCCTATTCTTAAATCCACAGAAGCAAGTGGAGATGGAAAGAGATTAAAGCTAGCTGAAGGTGGGCTCTGCCATCTTGTGGCTGGTTGCAGGATAGAATAGTTTAGGTCAGGCTAGACAGTGCAAGCTCTGAAACTCATCTTATTGCTGCTCAAAAAACCCATTGTATGTGCCCCCCCTCATGTATGGTGCCAAACTGATTTTTATTTTTACTGTTAACATGTCAGAAGCTAGAGTGCTCTGCCCCTTGTCCAGTTATACCTTGTGCATCCCATAGCTAACAGATCAATGACTCTTGATTCTTAGAGGTCTGAAGAAGGCAGATACCTTATGAGTCTATAATGGGCTGCTCACTGGAATACATGACTGCCCAAATGTAGTTTTTTAAACTAGATTCCTTTGGATATGGAGATCTGAGGTGTACAATAGTTACGTTTTCCATTCCTACCTATATTTTCCCTCTGTTTATTCTTACACTCATAAATAAAGTAAGGCTGTCAAACAATTTTAAAAAATTGCAATTAATCATGAGATTAAAAAATAGTCTTGATTAATCACAGTTTCAATCACATTGTTCAATTCACCTCATACAAGTAATATAGTGCCATCTCTACTGTGAAAGTTCAATAACAAATGTAGATTTTTTATTCTATAACTGCACTCAAAAACAAACAATGTAAAATTTTAGAGCCTACAAATTGAAGCATGAAGGGGCATATGAATTTTTAGCATATCTGGCACATAAATGCCTTGCAATGCCGGCTACAATAGTGCCAAGTGAATGTCTGTTCTTATTTACAATGTCACCTGAAAGTGAGAAGTGGGCAGCGTTATCTCCTGCAAATGTAAACAAACTTGATTGTCTTAGTGATTGGTTGAACAAGAAATAGGACTGAGTTGACTTGTATGAGGTGAATTGAAAAATACTATTTCTTTTGTTTATCTTTTTTACAGTGCAAATATTTGTAATCAAAATAACAAAGTGAGCACTGTACACTTTGTATTGTGTTGTAATTGAAATCAAGTATTTTGGAGAATGTAGAAAAAACATCAAAAAATAATTATAATAATTTAAAATTGGTATTCTATTATTAACAGTGCAATTAATGATGAAATTTTTTTATCTAGTTTATTTGTTTTCCGTTAAGCACATGCATTAACTGCAATTAATTGACAGCCGTAACAAAGTCAAATGGTCCACAGTGAAATCAAATGTAGGTCTTAGATGAGGGCAAAGCAAAGTTCTCCTACTTGCTAGGTTTTAATGAGCACCCCAACATTACTTTAAAAGACCCCGAACTCATTCTGCAATTATCAGAATAGCTGGTGTAAATTTCATTTTAAAAACAACTTACCTGCTTTATGCTGAAACTTGACACAGTATAGATCATTGTAGGGTTATTTGTTAGGTCATCTGGCCGCACCCACTTGGCAAACATTGCCTTTTGTTTGGGTGACAATGGTAACTTGCCGCATTTATCTCTGGATTTAAAAATAATAATAAAAAAATAATTCATATCAACCAAAGACAGATCAGAAACAAATTTCCATGGTATGTCCCATTTTATTTACAGCAGTCACAGACATTAATCAACAAGGTCCATTACACAATGGGGGGGAAGGAGGAAGACACTAACAGAAAATGTGGAAATGTTAAATGCCTTTTTTGTTTCTGTTTTCACCAAAAAGGTGAGTAGCAATTGGATGTCTAACATAGTGAATACCATTGAAAGTAGGATCTGATGCTAAAATAGGGAAAGAACAAGTCCAAAATTATTTAGACAAGTTAAAAGTCTTCAGGTCAACAGGGCCTGATGACATCTCTCTAGTCTAAAAGCCTTGTCTACACTACAAAGTTTTTTCGGTAAAAGCTGCCTTTCGCTGACGAAACAGGGGAGGTGTACACGCTGCAAAGCTACTTTTGGCGGCAAAACTCTTTTGTTTTGCCTTCAAAATAAAACCACCTCAACGAGAGGCATAAAGCTTTTTGCGGCAAAGTTAAAGCATCAAAGTGTCAGTGTAGACGCTGCTGTTTGTTTTGTTGATATAACTGGCTTCCACCAGCATCCCACAATGACGGCTCTGCTCGCTGTTTTGATCTCTGCTGCCCTGCAGGCATGCGCCCCTCCCCTTTCAAAGCTCTGGGAAGTATCTGACAGCTGAGCGTGCTGCTATGCTCCCACAACAAAGCAAATAATTAATGTGGAATGCTCCTGTTCTGCCCTGTACTATAACACAGCTGCAGGCAGTGGGGAGTGAGGGGGACTACTGCCTTGCTGCTTTGACATTCCTCAGCACTGAGAGCTCACAGAGCTGCTCAGGATGCCGCCCCCGGAGAGCTGAGGAGGCTGTGGGAGAACTCTGAGGGAATCACAGAACCATAGGCAGGCAGGGAGAGCGAGCTGCTTCTGCCGGGGGGTGGGAGAGACTGCTGTGCTGACAGAGCCGGGGGGCTGACATGGGGGTGGGTGCATAAATGGTTGGAAAACCTTCCTAGCTAGTTATCAGTGGTTCACAGTGAAGCTGCCAGGACAAGTGGGGTCCCACAGGGACCAGTTCTGGGTCTGGTTCTTTTCAATATCTTTACAAATTATTTAGATAATGGCATGGAGAGTAAACTTATAAAGTTTGCGGACAATACAAAACTGGGAGGGGTTGCAAGTGCTTTGGAGAATAGGATTAAAATTCAAAATGATGTGGACAAACTGAAGAAATGGTCTGAAGTAAAACAGAATGAAATTCAATAAGGACAAATGCAAAGAACTCCACTTAGGAAGGAACAATCAGTTGCACATATAAAAAATGGGAAATGACTGCCTAGGAAGGAATACTATGGAAAGAGATATCGGATTATAGTGGATCACAAGCTAAATATGAGTCAACAGTGTAACATTATTTTAAAAAAGGGGTGGGGGAGAGAAATATTCTGTGATGTATCAGCAGGAGTGTTGTCAGCAAGACACGAGAAGTAATTCTTCCATTCTACTCCAAGCTGACAAGGCCCCAACTTGAATACTGTGTTCTGTTCTGGGCATCACATTTCAGGAAAGATGTGGATAAACTGGAGAAAGTCCAGAGGAGAGCAACAAAATATCATTAAAATTCTAGAAATCACCACCTATTAGGAAAGACTGAAAAAAATGGGTTTATTTATCCTGGAGAAGAGAAGACTGAGGAGGGACATAACAGTTTTCAAGTACATAAAAAGTTATTACAAGGCGGAGGGTGAAAAATTGTTCTCCTTAACCTGAGGATAGGAGAAGAAGCAATGGGCTTAAATTGCAGATAGGAAGATTTAGGTTGGACATTAGGAAAAACATCCTACCTGTAAGGGTAGTTAAACACTGGAACAAATTGCCTAGGAAGGTTCTGGAATCTCCATTGTTGGAGGTTTTTAAGAAAAGGTTAGACAAACACCTGTCAGGAATGGTCTAGTTATTACCTAGTCCTGACTTGAGTGTAGGAGTCTGGACTAGATGACCTATTGAGGTCCCTTCCAGTCCTACACTTCTACGATTCTATGACATATGTAAATACAGCTATAAAGTAGTTTAAGTTAATAGCCTTACAAAGCTAATAATTATTTGGGACATATCATAAGTAAAATATAAAATACTAAATGTTGACATTTCCCCTCCATATGAAACCAAACAGGAGAGGGGAATTCCAAAAGCCATCTTTAACAACAAAGATTATTTTTTTTGGTCACTGGTGTTGGAGAAATTTACTCAATGCTGGAAAGTGCTGAGCTAGTCCACTCAGGGCCTGGCAGGTCTCAAGATACTGGACTGTAATTCATAATTTCCCATCTCTCCCATATTGTCACTGAACTTTACATTTATAAATCTTCCCAACAGTTTCACATAACTGAACTAAAAGCAGTGTCTGTCTCTGCTGTGGTCCCCTCTTCCAAGGAAGTCACCTGAGTCCCAGGTTACTGATCTCATAATAATACCTAGCTCTTATACAACACACTTCATCAGTAGATCCCAAAGTGCTTTACAAATCGGTCAGTATCAGTATCCCCATTTTACAGGTGGAGAAACAGAGGCATAGAGAGGTGAAGTGATTTGCCCAATGTCATCCAGAAAGCTAGCTACAGAACCAAGAATAGAAGCCAGGCCTCCCAAGTCCCAGTTCAGTGCTCTATCCACTAAACCAGGTGTTCTCAACCTTTTTCTTTCTGAAGCTCACTCAACATGCTATAAAACTACACGGCCCACCTGTCCCACAATAACTGGTTTTCTGCATATAAAAGCCAGGGCTGGCATTGGGGGATAGCAAGCAGGGCAACTGCCTGGGGCCCCATGCTGCAGCCCCATGCTGTGGGGTTTCGGCTTTCTGCCTTGGGTCCAAATGAGTCTAATGCTGGAACTGCTTTGTGGAACCCCTGAAACCTACT